AAATCTCACGGGCATAAGTAGTACTAATCACATACCTGCATTTCCCATAAATATGCTAAATTCCTCTTGATATGCAAATTCTTTTGTCAAGGCGCCCTTCCCCCCCTTCCAACCCAGCTTAAATATACGCTCCAAGCGTGGTGGTGTTTCATTCAGACGCTGTCTCCCCGACAGACCTGTCTTCACCTGAGGACGGCTGTTTGCGTTGTGGCCGAAACTTCGTGAGAATTATTTAATGTTTTATTTTATTATTTCCATTCTACGTGATTTTACCGAAAGAACCAAGAAGATGAACCCCTGCAGTCACGAAAGCTTTAAATCCGAAATTTGACCTGAGGTAGTGCACCCGAAGATCTTGGGTCGTACCCTGAGACCAGATGCATCTCCGGAGTGCCTTCCAACACGCGCAGGGTACGGTGGTATTCAACATCAAAGATTTGGGCCGAGGGCAAGTGACAACTTGCATTTTATTTTCATTTAAAAGTTTAGTTAAAAACAAAACATCAACACTGCCAGAAATGCATCCATTGTTACAAAAACAACATTGTGCTCCCAAAGTTCACGCGGCCGAGCGCGAGTATGCTCGCACATTGGAGAGCAGCGGTGGAGTGGTTGGCGCACCGCGCTACTAACCCGACCACCAGACTTTGATTCCCGCTCGCGACAAGAAGGTTGCGAATGTTTGAAGCGGTCCCTGGGCCTCCCCTTGGTCGACGACTCGGCTTCCGCATGAGCACCCGTTGCGGCGTGGAAATGTAAACAGCACTGGGGAGACAAAGGTGGCCGGGCGTGGTGTTGCCCCCCCCCCCCCCCCGTGTGCCAGTGCCGGCCTTCGTAGGTGCAACTCGCGAACAGCACTTGGCCCAACAGCCTGTTCAAGGCTACACGGGGCATCTTTGTGTGCACCTGTACACGTACTGGCCTTGTGTCAATCCACTGCTGGATGACTGCATGAGGGTCGTTGAGGTGTGGAGCGGCGGGGGTGAGGGCTGTGGGCAGGGGGTGGGGGGGGTTATCCGACCAAACTTCACAGAGTCGGCGCAGTGTATGCCGGTGAAGGCGTTGTGGGGGGGGGGGGAGGTGACCAGGTGACGTGGTGAGAGAGAAGGCGCTGCAGCCGCCTCTTGATTCGGGGGCGACGCCAGAACCGCTTCGCCCGGCGTCGTCTGGGACTCGACGGACCCACGACGCGTGGGGGGAGGAGAGCTCGGGCCCTTGGCGACCGCCCGGCAGTGCCGGTGACGTCGTGACACCTCCAGCGGGGACGTCGTTTCGTGCCTCCGGTTTGGGTGAGAGACCCAAACCGATCGGCGCACTTGCCCGTGACGTCGACGGCTCCCGTCTCATCGTTCCGTGTGGAGGGCTGCGGCGTGACGCCCGCACGACGTTGTGACCGCCGAACAGAAGAACCGGTTGTGACTCGTAATATTGGTCGAGAAAGCCGACGCGTAAAAAATCATTATCGTTATTACACCTCGCCCCATGTTTTGAAGACTGCAGCCGGTCTGCAAGGAGCGGGCATCGGTCTGCCAGCAGGGTGGGACGGGGCTAAGTGGCTCATCCATGACGAGTAACTTGCAAGCGATTTGGCAAATGCAGGATCTTCACGGTTAATACGCGCACCCCGCGTGATTAACCGCGGCGGCCTCTCGGTTCCGGACCGCCGACCTCGCGAACCCTCCGCAGCAGCGGGCGGACGACGCCAAACGGCGCTCAACCCGAACATTCCGAAATCCGCCGCCGTTCCGCGAACGGACGGCGAAGCCCGGCTGCTGCGGCTGCTGCGGCTGCTGCGGCTACGTTGTTGTCGTTGTTCTCGCTCACGAGGCTGCCGAGCCGCCGGTCGTGCCGGAAGGTTCCAGGGCTCGCGGACAGCGGGAAAACTTCGGCGACGTCACCGCCCGCCGCCGTGTCCACCGTGCCCGCCGCCGCCGTGTCCGCCACCGCCGCCGTGTCCACCGTGGCGATTGCCCCCGGCGGTGGAATGCGGTGGCGTGCGCTCCGTGCCGTCGAGCATCTCGCGGATGAGCGGCGGCAAGGAGCCGGGGATCTCGGTGGTGAGGGTGAGGACTCGCTCGGCGCCTGTGGGGTGGCGGGGGGGAAGGAGGGGGGGGGGAAGGGATGGATCGACGTGGGGGAATCGCGAGTTTTACGACAATCTTCACCGCCGCGTGAAGCGCGTTGAGCTGCTGGGATCTCTCTCGCCGGTGAGGCGCGGCAGCTGCTCTCGGGCCTCGTCTGCACCAGCGGTCTCGAGAGAAGTGCAATTGTGCCCCCCCCCGCCCTCGAATTCTGTCTTACAGACCGCCAAGGAAATAAGTGGAGTCGAACCTGGCGGCCAACGTGTACCCAGTGCGTAGCCACGTCGCCGCAAGTCGACTTGTAACGCCGCAGCCACACGGCATCCGCTCGCCGCTCTCGCGGACTCGAGGCGAGAACGACTCGCGGGGCGCCCACAGCGACCCAAGACGAACCCCGGCGCCGGCGATCGCCCAAAGCGTCCGCGCTCCTCCGCGCGGCATCGCGCGTCGGCGGCGCCCGCGTCACCCGCGGCGCCGGCCGCGGTCGAACTCTTACCCTTGGCGCCGATGCCGCGCAGGTCGGTGACGGCCATGAGGATGCGCGCGAAGGCCCGGGGCTGCGCCGGGCGTCTCCGCCGCCCCGCGTGTCGCTCCAGCGCCGCCAGCAGCGGCTCCTGCAGGCGCTCGACGCGCGCCGCCTCCTCCAGCCCCTCGCGGTCTGCGGCCGCCGAGTCCGGGGCAGACGGGTTAGCGATGGGCGATGGGCGACTCGGCTGTACCCCACGCCCTCTCAACCCCCCTCCCAACCCCCCACTACTGGGCCGGCCTCTCGAGCTCCTTGGTGGTCACTCATCTATCGCCCGCTCGGCTTGCAACCCTAGCGGCGCGCCGTCTGTCGCCGGACCGCCGTGGCCCTCGCGGCCCTCGCGGCCCTCGCGGGCCTCGCGGCCCTCGCGGCCCTCGCGGCCCTCGCGACCCTCGCGGCCCTCGCGGCCCTCGCGGCCCTCGCGGGCCCTCGCGGCCCCTCGCGGCCCTCGCGGCCCTCGCGACCCTCGCGGCCCTCGCGGCCCTCGCGACCCTCGCGGGCCTCGCGGCCCTCGCGGCCCTCGCGGCCCTCGCGGCCCTCGCGGCCCTCGCGGGCCTCGCGGGCCTCGCGACCCTCGCTATCGCGGCCCCCACCACCGGCACGGCCCTCGCCACCCTCGCCGCCGCTGCCCCCCGCGACCCCCCCCCCCCCCCCCCGCGGCGAGCCTCACCGCCGCACACGAGGCAGACGGCGCTGAGCAGCGCGGCCTCTGCGTCGTCCAGCGCCAGCGCGTGGAGCCGCCCGGCGAAGGCGAAAACGTCGTCGGTGAGCGGCCCGCCCAGCGCCGCGCTGCCCATCTGCGTGCGCGTGAGCGTGAGGCCGTCCGAGAAGGTCACCGTGTCCCGCGCCGGAGTGTAGCGCGTGCACATGCGCAGGATCTGTGGGGTGCCGGTGGGGGGGTCAAGGGGTCGAAGAGGTGAGGTTGGGGTCGGGGCAGCAGCGGCGGCTTTTGGCTCGGCCGTCAAACGAAGGCGGTGGTCACGGCGTCGCGCGGCGCTTTCAGGTGCGCTTCCGCGCCCGTCTGGAACGCTCTTCCCGCACTTTTAAATAATCTAGATTGAGAAACTAATCTCTTTTGAACTGCTTGTTGTTGTGTTTAGTTTCTTGTCCTTCGACCCCGGCCCGCACCTCCGATGAGCACGGTGGGCTACGTGCAGGGTGGTGCGAAAGAAGTTGAACTCCGTTCAGAGCAGCTGTTGCCACAAAAAGACGTGGGTCAAGGAAGATGTTTTTCGGAGAGGGGCACGGGGGCAGTGGCGGATCCCAGGAGGTGGTGGTGGAGATGATGGGGGCAGTAACCCCCGCCTCACCCTCCCCCCCTTGAGCCCCCTTTCTTGATACCCACAGTATTGGTATTTTGTCGATATTTACCGAACATTGTTGATTTTTTTTGGGTTAATGCAAGGCCCGATTTTTTTTTTTAAACCTTGAAATTCTGGGACTACTCGCCCCACGCTCACCCTCCCCCCACCCTGGGAGGTTTCTTTCTGCATCCGCCTCTGGCTCGTGAATGCCGGCTGCGGCACGGACACCGTGCAGGAGGAATGTGGAACGCTGCGAGGCAACGTTGGCGACGCGCCCACAGAACGCAGCGACACGCTCCGGGAATCCTGGGGCCTTGCATGCTCCGCAATAGGGCGCAGGCGAGGTCACACGTGACGTCTTCGTGTATTGTGGCAAGGGGGGGGGTCACACGTGACGTCTCCATGGGGTTACTTGGGGAGTGGGAGGGGTGGGGAGCATCAGCGGTCCCCGGCACGTGCAGCGAAACGTCGGACATCGTGCCAAACAACGCGCGGTACGAACACTGGTCGGACGGCTATAGCCAAGTCGGCCTGACTGACCAACTGATTTGTTAACTCGCTGACTGACTCGCTGATTGATCGACCGACCGAGTCGTCGGCAAACCGATTGGTTGCCTGGCCAGCCGGTTGACCGACTCGTTCGCTGGCTGGTGGCCGCCTCGCCGCGCGGTTTGCTCGCTGGCCGAGAGACGAACCAGGATCTCGAGGCACGCGCCCTTGAGCAGCGTGATCTGGTCGGCGATGGAGAGCGAGTCGAAGCCCGGCACGCGCTTGGCGAAGGTCACGATGCTGACGATGCAGCGGGTGGAGAGGTCGCTGAACTTGTCCCACAGGCCCAGGTCCAGATGCACGCGCTGGTCCGAGCTCGACTTCTACGTGCCGATCAACACACACCCCCCCCACCCCCGTGTCATCATCAGTGTCGTCATCATGAGCAGCTGTGCCTTCATCGTCAGCAGTGTCATCATCATCGTCAGCTGTGCCTTCATCATCAGCAGTGTCATCATCAGCAGTGTCATGAGCAGTGTTGTCATCAGCAGCCATCATCAGTGTCGCCGGCAGCAGCAGCAGTGCCATCATCAGCAGTGTCATCGTCAGTGTTAGCATCCGCAGCAGTGCCATCATCCGCATCAGTGTCATCATCAGCAGTGTCATCATCATCAGCAGTGTCATGAGCAGTGTTGTCATCAGCAGTGTCATCATCAGTGTCGCCAGCAGCAGCAGCACCATCATCAGCAGTGTCATCAGCAGTGCCATCGTCAGCAGTGTCACGAGTCGTGTCTCGTCATCGTTAGCAGCACGATGAGACCCGTGTAAGCGACGGCACGAGACGCCACTAATTCTGTCTCGCGGTATTAACAGGATGAAGGCATCCCGTCAACCCCTTATCAGCGCCCTACCTTGTTACAGACCAACTCACACCGAAGTGGTCACCCTGCGCCCTTAATTCTCAACGTTCATCCCACAAAGTCCCATCACAAGGGAGACACACAAACAAAGTCCCATCACAAGGGAGACACACAAACAAATAGACACACTCACTTTTGTTGCCCGTGTAGTGTTGTAAATAACAGATGAATAAACTCCGTTAAGGCACACACTGGTTTATTGTCTTTCTTTCAACACAGTCCCTACACACACGGAGGGATATACGGTTCCCTCACCCGTAGCCTAATGACCTACACACGGGTGTGGCTGCTGGCCTAGGGAGGTACAGCCTCCGAACTGGCGGGAGCTGCACACAGTCTACCCGCTACCCTAGCGTCCTCCGGCTGGGACCTAGGGGAGGCTAGCTTGACCCACCGCTGGCTTGGTGGGTCCTCTGACCACTGGTCGTGCAGAGCCTTAGCTCTTAGAAGAGCTGCAAGGCTCGGGAGCCAGGCTCCTGCCTGCCAGGACCTATTCTCCCCTTGACCACTGGAACACTGAGCCTCAGCTCTTACAAGAGCTGCAAGGCTTGGTCCAGGGTCCAAGCTTCTTCAGCCGGGCTTCGGTCTTCGTGTGAGGAGAACTGGCGCGCGCTCCCCGCGCTCGCCCTTTTATACCCCTGTAATATGAGGATATATCCGGCTCACTGACGTATCACAACTCGTCATGGTGATTGGCTCTGCCGGTCCTGGTTTACAGCCAATGGGGGGAAGCCTGGGGGCATGGCCCTGACGTGACGGAAAGGTGACTGCTGTTTGTAGAGGATTGGTTCTGCTGGCTGTGGCCACAGCCAATGGGGAGACGAGTCAGGGGCGTGGTCCCGGGAGATGACGAGGGAGCCTGGAATATTCTATGGAGGCTAACGAGGATTGGCGGAAACGTACCACGTGACCCGGGTATTAAATAGGGGTGGAGACGAACGACACGTGGTCAGAACGGGAACGAACAGGAAGGAGACCACGCGGGAGCGGGACTCCGAGTTGCCACGTGGCAGTGCGTCTCTCTCTCTCTATCTGTGAAATAAACTGTAAGATAAGTTGAATAAAAGACGAATTCCAGAAGTCGCCTCAACGAGCTTTATTATACCCGTGTGTAACGGTCTTATCCAATCAGACGCTCCCTCGTGGGACCCTCTGAGTGGTTCTTTACAACCCGTGGTTTCGATCCTCTTTTACCTCATCTGACCCCTGGCCATTGGTCTGGCGGGAATCTGTGTTTACGATCCGCTCTCACCTCTACCTTGACCCCGGCCGTTGGTCCCAGAGCGGTAACGCTGCATTGCCCCTCTGATACACAGTGGCCACGCAGGTTAGCGAGTAGAGTGTCTAGCACCTCGACACCCGCAATGAAACGGCTGTACCGCCGTATGGGCCTGGCAACTGAACATCCCTGCACAAGAAGCCGGGGTGAGCCGTCCGGGTTGACGGCGTGTCAAGTCCACCGCCACGTGCTGCGGCACCGAGGACTCCGGCAACCCGAGTGCTGCCGTCCCTCGACCCGCGGTGTCGGGATGGCGTCACCTGGCAGAGGCTGGGGAGCCTGGGGCGAGGAGCGCTCACCCTGCTGCCCTCACCCTGCTGCCCTCACCCTGCTGCCCTCACCCTGCTGCCCCCACCCTGCTGCCCTCACCCCTCATCCTGCTGCCCTCACCCCGCTGCCCTCACGCTGCTGCCCTCACCCTGCTGCCCTCACCCTGCTGCCCTCACCCTGCTGCCCTCACCCTGCTGCTCTCACCGTAGTGTACTTGCCAAGCTGGTGGAGTGACGGGAAGGTGTCTTGGTGAGCCTGCCGAACTTCCTGTATCAGGGCGTCCATCTCGGTCTCTGTGTCACCGCCACCACCGCCACCGTCAGCACCATCAGCACCGTCAGCAGCATCAGCACCGCCACCGTCAGCACCATCAGCACCATCAGCACCACCACCATCAGCACCGCCACCGCCACCACCGTCAGCACCGCCACCGTCACCGCATTCTGCCGTCGCAGCAGCGAACCGCTTGGCCCCCACCGCCTCCTCTCCCTCAGCGCTCCTCCTCCTGCTCTCTCCCGTGCCTCCGTGACCACCCCCCTCTCCCGCCTCGTCCCCCCGCTCCTCCTCCTCCTCCTCGTCGCACTCCTCCTTGCGCCTCTTCCCACGCTCGTTCCTCACCACTGGGCGGAACGCACCGACACGAACGTCAAGGTTATTGTCGTCGTGTTCAAGCATCGGCCGTGTGGCTTCGAACAGACAGCGGCACATGCAGGCGTGCACACAAAGACAAAGACCCCCACCGCTCTCCCACAGTGTAGCCTCTAACAGACTGTAGGGGCAAGTGCTGTTAGCGAGTGGCACCTATGAAGGCCGGCACGGCACACGAAGGGGCTGGGTGGCCAGCACCACGCCCGGCCGCCTTTGTCTCGATGTTCGCTACGCACCGTACCAGAGTCAACCCAGCGGAGGCCCAGGACCGGTTCAGATGTTAGTCACTGGTGTCGGTGGCAGCGCGCTGATCGCTCGGATGGCCCTCCCCACAGACTGTAACCACTACAGGGGCATCTCACTCCTCAGTGTGAGGCCGGGAAGGGTCCTGGCAAGGATTATTCAACATCGCCTTGCCAGGCAAGCTGAGGAGAGGCTTGAGGAGCCCCAATGCGGTTTCAGGAAAGGGCGGTCCTGCACAGATGCCATATTTTCTGTCCGTCTGCTACAGCAGAGGTGTAGGGAATTCCAACAAGACCTACATCTCTGCTTTATTGACCTGGTCAAGGCCTATGATACTATCAGTAGGCCGGCCTGGGCTCTGGGTTGTTCTTCGTGCTTTCGGAGTCCCTGACCCTCTGCTCATGATCATTAAGGACCTTCATGATGGTGAGCAGCCTCGGGTAAAACTACGTGACCGGGAGTTGGAGCCATTCCCTGTTCAGCTTGGGGTGCAACAGGGATGTCCTCTGGCTCCCACATTTTTTCACATCAATTAGTTCATGAAGGCTTCGATGGCTGTACCAGAGGAATTTACATCTGGTACAAATACAATGGGAGGCTGATCTATGCCGGTGTTCAGGCAAGGGACGGCTCCCTATTAATCAACCACGTTATGTATGTCGATCTGGTAATTGCTGCTCACTCAGAGGAGGAGTTGGAAGTAGGGCCTTACCATCAGCCCCATAAAAACTAAGCACCTGTCTGGGTAGTTTGTACCATCAGACACTCCACCCCCACAACTCCAAATTGGTTTCGGGCTGTTGTGGAGATAGTGGAGAGTTTCCCATACCTGGGCAGTATGCTCATGACCGGCTCTGGTTTGACAGCAGAGGTCTCCAAATCAGTCGAGCGGCATTATCTTTTCATCGGCTTCATAACGCTGTGTGGAAGCTACCTGGTCTGTCACTCCACACGAAGCTTCGGGTCTTCCCAGCCACAGTCATGCCCTCCCTTCTCTATGCTTGCGGAACGTGGACCCTCCCCCCCTAATGGAACATCTTCGCTGGTTAGAGACAGGCTGGCCTGCCTACCTATCCACCCTGGTTTTAACCAGGCTAGATTATGTTAGGAGCTCAGAAATCCCTGAAAGATCTGGTCAAAGTCCTATCGGTAAACTCCTCCGGCAGGCAAGGCTGCATTGGCTGGGTCAAGTAGCCCGCATGCCCAGCCACCGCATGCCTGAACAGCTTTTGTTCGGCCGGATCAAGGGGGCTAAACGGGCGCGGCACGGGCTAGAGAAGAGATGGAGTGATGTGGTAAAGGAGGACGTGGAGCTGAGTGGACTTGCCGATGACTGGTACCAGCGGTGTCAAGATCGGCTACTCTAGAGGAGGCGCGTGAAGGACGCTACTGGGCAGTTGGAGGCAGTCGCCCTTCGGCAATAACGAAGGGCAGAGGAGCGACGCTCACAACAACGAGCGGAGCGCCGGGCAGCTAAAACAGAGCAATTTGGCACAGTAGGGGGCACTGATTGTGCATCGGCCAGTCGTCTCAGTCAGTCGACCCATGGCACCTGGGTCTGCCCCGTGACCTGCCAGCGGGCGTTCGACACTTAGCCTGACACCACCATTTGGTGGTGAATGGCGGTTGTTGTTGTTGTTGTAGGTGGGGAGGAAGGCTCACACTCGCGCGACATGCCCGCGGCCAGGCATCCCTGCAGTCGGCAGAACTGGCAGCGGTTGCGCGTGAGCTTGTTGATGGCGCAGCGCCGCTCCTGGGCGCACTCGTACGTGGCCCTCTTCTGCACGCTGCGGCGGAAGAAACCCTGCCATGACAACCACGGGGGGGGGGGGGGGGCCGCCATCACCGTCAACATCAACATTGCCATCACCGTCAACGTCACCACGAGCACCGTCGCCATGACAACCACGAGGGGGGGGACCGCCATCTCAACATTGCCAGTGTCCAATACCATCGTCGGCACCACCATCGCCATCAACATCATCATCATGAGCATCACCGAGAACATCACTGCCACCACAACAATCATCGTCGTCATCATCTCCAACATGAGCGGCACCATCATCATGACCACTGCTCCCACCGTCGGTGTGCGGCGTGCTTGGGGAATAGCGGCGAGCGCGTTGCCTTGCGAACCCGGCGACCCGAGTTCGATTCTCGCTCACGGCCAACGTTGGCGTCAAACTTGTGAAACCGGTCCTGGGCCTCCCGTAGGTCGACTCGACCTTAAATGAGTACCGGGTGCGGTGTGTATTACTAAACTAAACTCTTTACTTTACCAGGTAAAGCTCAGCGAAGTGGCTTCTCATCATCACGTGGAAGTGTAGCTGCCAAATGCTTCTAAACGCGTGTTTGTAAATGTGGAGGGAAAAACCGGAGGACCCGGAGAAAAATCCACGCGACCTCTCGAGGAGAGAGAGAGAGAGACACGCAAAATATACAGCAGCAGGCGTCAGGGTCGGGATGGAACCCACGACTTCCTGCGTACCAGGCGAGGGAGTTCACATCTCCTAGCCACCGTGGCGCCCGCATTAAGCAGCAGCAGCAGCAGCACGGGGGGAGATAACGGCTCCTGTGCGCGGTGCCGTGACGGCCTTCACGCGCGGGCGATACTCGCAAAGAGCACTTGCCCCCCTCCCCCTGGACAGCCGGTCCAGAGGCTACCCGGGGGACCTTTGCCTCTTGTCACCTTGCAGCCCTCGCAGGAGACGACTCCGTAGTGGAGGCCCGAGGAGCGGTCCAGGCAGACAGCGCACGGGCGGCGATGGAGTGGAGGGCCTAGCGACGACAAAGACGACGACGATGACGAGGTGGAGGTGGTGGAGGTGGTGGAGGTCGTGGAGGAAGAGAGTCCCAGCTCAGCCACCTCGCCGCTCCACACCTCCACGCCTGGTGCACGCGCAATCACGCGCTCGATCGATCGTGCGTGTGTCTGTGTGCGCGCACACGTGTCTGTGTGTGTGTGTGCACACGTGTGTGTGTCTGTGTGTGCACACGTGTATGTGTCTGTATGTGTGCACACGCGTGTGTGTCTGTGTGTGCACACGTGTGTGTGTGCGCACACGCGTGGGTGTCTGTGTGTGCGAACATGTGTGTGTCTGTGTGTGCACACGTGTGTTTGTGTGTGCGCACATGTGTGTCTGTGTGTGCGCACACGTGTGTGTGTGTGTGCACACGTGTGTGTGTGTGTCACACGTGTGTCTGTGTGTGCGCACACGTGTGTGTGTGTGTCTGTGTGTACACACACGTGTGTCTGTGTGTGTGTGTGCGCACACACAGACAGACTGCCCTACATGACATCATAACAACAGTCTGGACCACTGGACGGGTTCCGCAGGATTGGAAGGATGCCATGGTGGTCCCCCTCTTTAAGAAGGGGGACCGCACAGACTGTTACAACTTCAGGGGAATCTCACTCTTCAGTGTGCCGGGAAAGATCCTGGCAAGGATTATTCAACATCGCCTTGATAGGCACGCTGAGGAGAGGCTTGTGGAGCCCCAATGCGGTTTCAGGAAAGGGCGGTCCTGTACAGATGCCATATTTTCTCTCCGTCTGCTACAGCAGAGGTGTGGAGAATTCCAACAAGACCTACATCGCTGCTTTATTGACCTGGTCAAGGCCTATGATACCATCAGTAGGCCTGGGCTCTGGGTTGTTCTTCGTGCTTTCGGAGTTCCTGACCCTCTGCTCATGATCATTAAGGACCTTCACTACGTAGCCGGGAGTTGGAGTCATTCCCTGTACATCTTGGGGTGCGACAAGGATGTATATTTCGACCACGGAGTTTGTGAAGCCTTCAATAGCTGTACCGGAGGAATTTCCATCTGGTACTGATATAATGGGAGGCTGATCGATGCCCGGGTGCGGTCAAGGGATGGCTCCCTATTGCTCAACCACGTTATGTATGCTGATGATCTGGTAATTGCTGCTCACTCAGAGGAGTAGTTGGAGGAGCTGCTGCTGAACCTGGAGCGTGCCACTAAGAGGTGGGGCCATACCATCAGCCCCACCAAAACGAAGCACCTGCCTGGGTATTTTTTACCATAGGACGGTCCACCCTCACAACTCCCAATTGGTGATGGGGCAGTTGTCGAGAGAGTGGAGAGTTTCCCATACCTGGGAGTGTGCTTATGACCGGCTCCGGTTTAACAGCAGAGGTCTCACTCCAAATCAGTCGAGCAGCATTATCTTTTCATCGGTTGCGTAACGCTGTGTATGAAACTACCTGGTCTGTCGCTCCGCATGAAGCTTCTCGGCCATGGTCATGCCCTCCCTTCTCTACGCTTTCGACACGTGGATCCCGCAAATGGAACATCTTCGCCGGTTAGAAACAAATAGGCTGACCTGCCTACGATCCATCCTGGGTTGAATAAGGCTGGATTGTGTGAGGAGCTCACAAATCCTTGAAAGATCTGGACAAAGTCCCATCGGTGAGCTCCTCCGGCAGGCAAGGCTGCGTTGGCTGGGTCATGTAGCCCGCATGCCCAGCCACCGCATGCCTACACAGCTTTTGTTTGGCCGGATCGAGGGGGCTAAACGGGCGCGGCACGGGCTAGAGAAGAGATGGAGTGATGTGGTAAAGGAGGACGTGTAGCTGAGTGGACTTGCCGATGATTGGTACCAGAGGTGTCAAGATCAGCCTCTGTGGAAGAGGCTCGTGAAGGACGCTACTGGGCAGTTGGAGGCAGTCGCCTTCCAACAACAACGGAGGGTTGAAGAGCGATGCTCATAACAACAATCGGAGCGCCGGGTAGCTAAATCACAGCAAGTTGGCACAGTAGGGAGCACAGGTGGTGCATCAGCCAGTCATCTCAGCAGTCGGCCCGTGGCACGTGGGTCTGACACTTCACGTGGCCTCAATGTGTACATAGCCTGGCACAAGCGTCGTGATGGCATCACCGCCACTTATTGGCGAATAGCAGTTGTTGTTGTGCGCACACGTGTATCTGTGTGTGCGCACATGTGTGTATGTGTGCGCGTACATGTCTGTGTCTGTGTGTGCACACGCGTGTGTGTCTGTGTGTGCGCACATGTGTGTCTGTATGTATGTGTGCACACGTGTGTGTGTGCACTCCTGTGTATGTGTGTCTGTGTCTGCGTACATTTCTGTGTCTGTGTGTGTGCACACCTGTGTGTCTGTGTGTGTGCACACGTGTGTGTCTGTGTGTGTGCACATCTGTGTATGTGACGCACACGTGTGTGTGTGTACGCACGTACACATGAGGAGTGGTAGTGTAGTGGTTAGAGCGCTGCGCTACAAATCCGGCAACCCGAGTTCGATTCTCGCGAACAGCCAACAGCAGTGACGAATATTTGAACCGGTCCTTGGCCTCCCCTAGGTAAACTCAGCCTCAAATGAGTACCTGGTGCGGTGTGTAAACATCGCCACTAGGGGAGACAAAGGCGGTCGGGCGTGGTGCTTGCCACCCACCCCTCGTGTGCCGTTCCGGCCTTCATAGGTGCTCCTCGCTAACAGCACTTGCCCCAACAGTCTGTTAAGGCTATACGGGGGATATTTGTCTTTGTGTGTATGTAAGTGGAGTGTAACAGCGCGCTGCACTACAGACTATACAAACTAACGTTGTATTTGACCAGGATAAGGCCCCACTGAGCTACCTCTAGCTCTGGCCATCACTAAATAATGATAGCTCAACAAAGTGGGATCATCATCATCGTCACGTGGAGATGTCGAGCAGCACCCAAATCCTCTCAACGATGTTGGGGAGAGGAGGAGGCACGATAGTGGAGAGCGACTTTCATGGAGCGGTCCCCACGGCCCGGCGACCAAGGGCTTGAAGAGAGGCCAGATGGAGGGGGGGGGGGGAGCCTGTGAGGGCAGATCTGTGGGTCTCTGTGTGAGTCTCTGTGCGAGTCTATGGGTGTCTCTGTGTGAGTCTATGGGTCTCTGTGTAAGTATGGGTCTCTGTGAATCTGTGGGTCTCTATGTTAGTCTATGGGTGTCTCTGCGAGTCTATGGATCTCTGTGTAAGTGTGGATCTCTGTGTGAGTCTATGGGTGTCTCTGCGAGTCTGTGGATCTCTGTGTAAGTATGGGTCTCTGTGTGAGTCTATGGGTATCTGTGTGAGTCTATGGGTCTCTGTGTGAATCTGTGGGTCTCTGATTGAGTCTTTGGGTTTCTGTGAGTCTATGGGTATCTTTGTGAGTGTGTGAGTCTCCGTGTGAGTCTATAGGTCTCTGCGTGAGTCTGTGTGTCTTTATAGGCAGGGAGGTTGCGACATTTAGACGTGTAGGTAGGCAGGTATATGGCAGTTGCACGTAGTAATGATAATCGTCGTCGTCGTCGTCGCAAGTTCAGCAAGCGGAATGGAAGTACTGACCGTAGGGTCCGACTGCGTGGAAGTCGCTCTGCGCGTGGAGCGCGACCCCCGCCAGGGTCGAGGGGGGGAATCCCGGGCAGGGCCCCCCGTAGGAGGAGGGGAACGGGCAGGCGGCGAGGGGGTACGCGGCGAGGGGGTACGCGGCGAGGGGGTACGGAGCGGCGAGGGGGTAGGGGCCTGCCCCTCCGCACGGCGCCGGCGGTCTCCCCGCAGCGGCCATCGTCCTTGAATCCTTCCTCCCCTCCCTGTGAATCCTTCCTTTTCCACTGAATCCTCCTCCCACTCCCCGCGAATTCCTCCTCTCCCTGTGAATCCTTCCTATCCCTCCTCTCTCTCCTCTCCCTCCTCTTTCTGCTCTTACTCTTAATCCCACTTGAGGTGTCACCTCCGGGCGGGATTTGACTCTGTCAGCGCCAGACGCGGCGCTGACAAATCCTTGCCCTCTCGACGGTGACCGCTCCCCGTGCCTTTTTTTCGAATTCTCTTTTTCGATTTATATTTATTTATTTATTTTCTCATTCGGTCTCTTTTTGCCCACGAGGCGACGCTGTCTAGACGGCTACTGGGGAGTGGGGGGGGGCGAGAGTGGGGGGGGGGGCACCACCACACGAGAGGTCACAAACGAGCCACCCCCCCCCACCACACCCCCACACCCCCCCCCACCACACCCCCCACACCCCCCACCACACCCGACCACGCCCGAGCCCAGCCGGCCAATGGGAGGCGAGCGCGGCGGCGGCGGCGGCTCTCATCCAATAGGACGCCCAGGTGAGAGTCCTCGTCAGTCGCCGGTGGTGGTGATGCTGGTGGTGCTGGTGGTGGTGGTGGAGTTTCTTGTCGAATCTGTAAAAGACAAATATAATGAGCACTAAGCGGAGCGGTGAGTCACGCGGTGCCACGTTCCTCCACGGCCCCATGAGCGCCGTTCAATTTGGTCACGAGTGGCGAACGAGTGGCGTCTCTCCGTCACTCGGTGTCTGATGCGTGTGCCCCATGTGTGTGTCCCATGTGCTTTGCGATAGCCATCGACTGATCGTGGATTTTATTCTGTTGCTATCCTTGAACATGAGCATGGCAGTAGCAGGAGCAGCGATACGGTTCAGGTGCTGGGTGGTTCAGGTGCTCGGTGGTTCAGGTGCTGGGTGGTTCAGGTGCTGGGTGGTTCAGGTGCTGGGTGGTTCAAGTGCTGGGTGGTTCAGGTGTTGGGTGGTTCAGGTGCTGGGTGGTTCAGGTCCTGGGTGGTTCAGGTGCTCGGTGGTTCAGGTGCTGGGTGGTTCAGGAGCTGGGTGGTTCAGGTGCTGGGTGGTTCAGGTGCTGGGTGGTTCAGGAGCTGGGTGGTTCAGGTGCTGGGTGGTTCAGGTGCTCGGTGGTTCAGGTGCTGGGTGGTTCAGGAGCTGGGTGGTTCAGGTGCTGGGTGGTTCAGGTGCTGGGTGGTTCAGTAGCTCGGTGGTTCAGGTGCTGGGTGGTTCAGGAGCTGGGTGGTTCAGGTGCTGGGTGGTTCAGGTGCTGGGTGGTTCAGGTGCTGGGTGGTTCAGGTGCTGGGTGGTTCAGGAGCTCGGTGGTTCAGGTGCTGGGTGGTTCAGGTGCTGGGTGGTTCAGGTGCTGGGTGGTTCAGGTGCTGGGTGGTTCATGTGCTGGGTGGTTTAAGTGCTGGGTGGTTCAGGTGCTGGGTGGTTCAGGTGCTCGGTGGTTCAGGTGCTGGGTGGTTCAGGAGCTGGGTGGTTCAGGTGCTGGGTGGTTCAGGTGTTGGGTGGTTCAGGTGCTGGGTGGTTCAGGAGCTGGGTGGTTCAGGTGCTGGGTGGTTCAGGTGCTGGGTGGTTCAGGAGCTGGGTGGTTCAGGTGCTGGGTGGTTCAGGTGTTGGGTGGTTCAGGAGCTGGGTGGTTCAGGAGCTGGGTGGTTCAGGTGTTGGGTGGTTCAGGTGCTGGGTGGTTCAGGTGCTGGGTGGTTCAGGTGCTGGGTGGTTCAGGTGCTGGGTGGTTCAGGTGCTGGGTGGTTCAGGAGCTGGGTGGTTCAGGAGCTGGGTGGTTCAGGTGCTGGGTGGTTCAGGAGCTGGATGGTTCAGGTGCTGGGTGGTTCAGGAGCTGGGTGGTTCAGGTGCTGGGTGGTTCAGGTGCTGGGTGGTTCAGGAGCTGGGTGGTTCAGGAGCTCGGAGGTTCAGGTGCTCGGTGGTTCAGGTGCTGGGTGGTTCAGGTCCTGGGTGGTTCAGGTGCTGGGTGGTTCAGGTGCTGGGTGGTTCAGGAGCTCGGTGGTTCAGGAGCTGGGTGGTTCAGGTGCTGGGTGGTTCAGGAGCTCGGAGGTTCAGGTGCTCGGTGGTTCAGGTGCTGGGTGGTTCAGGAGCTCGGAGGTTCAGGTGATCGGTGGTTCAGGTGCTGGGTGGTTCAGGAGCTGGGTAGTGTCAATGTCTGCTGCTGCTGCCCAGCACGAGAGGGCTACAGAGAGAGAGAGTTTGAGTCGTCTCCATGTCCCTCCGCCCACACTGAAGGAGCGTGGACCACCACGGTGGACCACCACAGTGGACCACCACGGTGGACCACCACGGTGGACCACCACGGTGGACCACCACAGTGGACCACCACGGTGGACCACCACGGTGGACTACCACGGTGGACCACCACAGTGGACCACCACGGTGGACCACCACAGTGGACTACCACGGGGGACCACCACAGTGGGGTTCTGCTTTACTATTTCTGGCCGCGACTCTCGCGGCAAAACTCGCCAGCGGCCCTCCACCATCGCCTCCTGAACGGACGTGGGCGGACACAATAGTAGCAGCAACGAGCCAGTGGATCGCGCCTCCCCGTGGCCCCCAAGATCCCCCCCCACCCTCCCCGTCGCGACGGGGACACGGAGCACCTCCACCGGTTGGGGGGCAGACAGAAGGGGGGGGGGGCGACGATCCGAACGTGGAGCCGTGGCGACGCCTCGGCTGCTCGGACGAGGCCCCTCGCCTCTCCCCGCCTCTCGTGTCGCTGTCTGAAGCGGCTGAAGCGCTCCACGCGAACCACCGCACCGTCTGTGCATCCATCCCCTCCCCTCCCGTCTCGCTCTTCGATCTATCTCAGTCAGCTCGAGTCTCCCCGTAAACCACGTGGCTTCTGCGTGCCCCCCTCCCGCACTCAGAACCCCCTCTCCCCGTCACCGCCCACTCTGAAAACAGACTCCGCTGCGTGCAGTAGCAGCAGCGTGGAGGTCCTGACGCTGCTTCTCTCCTCGTCTCCTCGTCTCTCCGTGTTCTCTTCCATCCTCTTCATCCTACCCCCTTCCTCTCTCTCCTCTCTCTCTCTCTCCCCTCTCCCGTTCCATCCTCGAGGGTTTCCTCCGGGTTCTCCGTGCCCCCCCCCCCCCCGCTCTCCTCTCCAGAGCTAAATAAAAACTCCACACGCAGTTGTAACGGAATAACCCCAACGCTGAAACATTTCCCTGCAAACCACTCGTTTGGGGGGCGGGGGGGTCACACAGCAGCAGCATCGCCCCCCCCCCCCCACCTACTGCGACCAGAACTCGGCAGGACCCTCCTGGGGGTCACGACAGCACCACGGCTCCTACGCCACAAACACACACACACACACAGAGACACACACACAGACACACACACACACGCACACACACGCACACACACACGCACACACACACGCACACACACACATACACGCACACACACGCACACACACACACCTACACACACGCACACACACACACGCGCACACACACGCACACACACACACACCTACACACACGCACACACACACACGCGCACACACACGCACACACACACGCACACACACACACGCACACACACACCTACACACACGCACACACACACCTACACACACACACACACGCACACACACACCTACACACACACCTACACACACACGCGCACACACACACACACCTACACACACACCTACACACACACCTACACACACACACGCACACACACACACACCTACACACACCTACACACACACGCGCACACACACACACACCTACACACACACCTACACACACACCTACACACACGCACACACACACCAACACACACACACACACCTACACACACACGCGCAGTGGTTACCTGGCGAGAGCGAGTCCAGCGGCGTTCACCACCTGGAGAATTATCGCGTCCCTTGCGCGATGCTGCTGCTGCTGCTGATGATGCTTCTGGCTGATTCTCACTGCTGCTGCTGCTGCTGCTGATGCTTCTGGCTGATTCTCACTGCTGCTGCTGCTGCTGCTGATGCTTCTGGCTGATTCTCACTGCTGCTGCTGCTGCTGATGCTACTGGCTGATTCTAACTGCTGCTGGCTGCTGCTGATGCTTCTGGCTGATTCTAACTGCTGCTGCTGCTGCTGATGCTTCTGGCTGATTCTCACTGCTGCTGCTGCTGGCTGCTGCTGATGCTACTGGCTGATTCTAACTGCTGCTGCTGCTGCTACTGCTTCTGGCTGATTCTAACTGCTGCTGCTGCTGCTGGCTGCTGCTGATGCTGCTGGCTGATTCTAACTGCTGCTGCTGCTGATGCTTCTGGCTGATTCTAACTGCTGCTGCTGCTGGCTGCTGCTGATGCTGCTGGCTGATTCTAACTGCTGCTGCTGCTGCTGCTGATGCTTCTGGCTGATTCTCACTGCTGCTGCTGCTGGCTGCTGCTGATGCTGCTGGCTGATTCTAACTGCTGCTGCTGCTGCTACTGCTTCTGGCTGATTCTCACTGCTGCTGCTGCTGGCTGCTGCTGATGCTGCTGGCTGATTCTAACTGCTGCTGCTGCTGCTGATGCTTCTGGCTGATTCTCACTGCTGCTGCTGCTGGCTGCTGCTGATGCTGCTGGCTGATTCTAACTGCTGCTGCTGCTGCTGATGCTTCTGGCTGATTCTCACTGCTGCTGCTGCTGCTGATGCTCCTGGCTGATTCTAACTGCTGCTGGCTGCTGCTGATGCTGCTGGCTGATTCTCACTGCTGCTGCTGCTGCTGATGCTTCTGGCTGATTCTAACTGCTGCTGCTGCTGCTGCTGATGCTTCTGGCTGATTCTCACTGCTGCTGCTGCTGATGATGCTTCTGGCTGATTCTAACTGCTGCTGCTGCTGCTGCTGATGCTTCTGGCTGATTCTCACTGCTGCTGCTGCTGGCTGCTGCTGATCCTACTGGCTGATTCGAACTGCTGCTGCTACTGCTTCTGGCTGATTCTAACTGCTGCTGCTGCTTCTGGCTGCTGTTG